TTTGTGTAATATTTATGCCATGCTAATGGGTAGAAAGGACAACAAAATGTATCAGGAAGAGCCCATTACAGCATAGTTCAGAGTTCAAGAATTTCTGTGGATTTGTGTATATCAATCTAGTTGGGCATGATTCTTTAAGAAATAAGAGGTCACAATGCAGTAGAATAAAAATGGAATGCTGAAAACCTTTACATTCCTTCTGTTAAGTTACTTTAGAATCCTGAGAATAGTGTTTGTGAATTATGAGGTCTTTCCATAGTAGAACTGGTATGTGACTAATTGTAACCCCAGGCCACTTATGGCCTTATTTCAGAAGAAACAAATACTGTAGCCTGCCCCAAATGAGCCAGACTTTGCCAAAGCTTCACTTTGCCTCTCAGTACTGTGTAGTTTTGGACTCAGGAACCTCATGTCAGTCCTCCAAAGTTGAACTGTATGGAGAGTTCCTTCCTTATTCAAAACTAGGTGGGTCTCTTTGCTTTACCAGAAAGATTCAATGTTGAGGTAGAATAATGAAACAGCACTGTTAGAAGTCCTATTCAGATTCAAGAAGTGTCCTGGGCATTTCAAATTCCTGTGCATCCAGTTTTAGAATAAGAGGCAGAATTCACTAACATCTAAACAGGTGGAGAACACCGAGAGTAACTTGTGTTTCCAAACTACCCATAACACTAGACTTAGTAAAATCTGTCTTTGCTCAAGGAGGAATAAACATGAAACAAGGTCAACTATGAAAATATCCATCACTGGAAAGGGTGAAATTCTTGATAAGTACTTAAGGAAAACATCTCATAAGAAATATGTCCCATTTTGTGAAGCAGGTGAATTTTAAAGGAAACATTTAGTTTTTATTTATTCCTATCTTAGTCTATAAAAAACTTGAAGTGGTTCAGGAAAACACCACTATTTCAAAGGAAAAGCAACATTGAGGATATCAGATTCCAGTAGAAGCAGAAATACTAGAAAAATGACTCAAATTTAATTTGATGAACGTAAAAGAAGGGGAAGTATTAGCAGTGAGTGCAGGAAACAAAACCAAACAAAGTTTAGGTGTGAAACATTTAAAGTAATAAATATAATCAATAGAAAGGAGATAGCAGAAATGATATAGCTCAGGAATGAGTAAATAATTGGAAAACCATAATTAGAAAATATCTTGAAAAAGAGGGCAAGTAGGGAGACATTTTTTTAAAACCATGTGAGGAAAAAAAAGAAAATGCTGACATTCAGATAATAGGCAGCTCAAAGGAGAGAGGAAAAAAGATAGGAAGTACCTGAAAAAGTAATTAAGATAAGTGTCCCAGAACAAAAAGAAATGACTGACCTCAGATTTAAAGGGCCATAGAGCACAAAAAAAGAGTAAGAGAAGCCCCAGCTGTACACATTAAACTGGCATTTACAGAAAACCTTGTACAGGAATAGGCCCAAGATGAGAGAGTAGAAGAAAACTTAGGCGTATATTAGCAGGAAAGAAAACACAAACTGGCAATGAAATAAATTGAGATCACAGTGAGTAGGGACACCTCATGAGTATGGGAAGAAGTCTAAGAAGATGAGAAGTCTGACAAGATACTACAAGTGGCTTATAAGATATAATCTTGAGTGATAGGTTTTTCCAAAGACAAAAACAGTAAATGGTAAGAAGTAATAATACCAGGTATCAAAGAAAGAACTTTCTAGACCAGAAAAAAAAAATTGAGCTAAATGAAAAAAAAAGAGGCTGGTTTAAAGATATACCTAGTAAGTGTTTAAATTTCAAGAGCAAGTATAGACTTCTTCAAGCATTTAAGCATTTAAGAAGAATGCAGGAAACAAAAAATGAACCAGATGCGTTGATGAATTCTTCCAGACAATTAAGGTAAAAGAGAGAACTTTTCAAGGTTGTTAATGAGGGCAGTATAAACAAAAACCTGATGACCAAAGATAACAAAACAACCGTTTTTGATGCCAAAACCTGACATGGCAATACAGGAAAGAAAAAAATTATATATAATACATCATGATGAGTTGAGTTAATTCAAGGAATGATGCAAGCTAGGTTAAACATTCAAAAATAAATGATAGTCTCAATGTTATAGAAATAATAGGTAAAAAGTAAACAGAGTGGCTGGATATAAAATCAGTATACAGATGTCACTGGCACAGTACTAGAACAACAATCTATAAAAAGAAAAAGTTGATAAATGCCCTTAATCACATGTTCTGCTCTTAGAAGGGTGCTGTTAGATTATAAAACACAGGGAGGGAGAAAATATTGACAAAAAAATCTGATAAGGACTAATATCTGGACTATATGTTTTAATACTCCAAAATTCAGTAATAAGAGAACAGCTCAATTTTTTAAAGTAGGCAAAAGATGTTTAATAGACGTGGCTCCTGAGAGGATTATATGGCAGGTGTGAGCATGAAAGCCAGAAATTTTTAGCTGTAGGCGCATCTCTATAGTCCTCTGTACTTGTCAAGTTCCGAGAGGCCTCCCCAAGTGCTGCCAGCTGTTTGTTTCGGTGCTCCTCCTATTGGAAGGTCCTGTTCTTTACAGCCCGACGTTCTGGGACCACACATCTCCCACACACGATGTCTTTTCTGCCTGGCGTGCGAACAAGATGGGGTAAGATGACAGTGTCTAGACTGAGGAGGCTTTTGTTGTCTGGACTTGGGAGCCGTGGACTGGCACACAGGGCTATTCTGGACCATGGCAGAGTCACCAATGAGTGCTGTCCTTTCCCAGAGCTGCATTTTTAAAGACTGCTAACTTAAGGGGAGAACTCAGTGAAACAACTGGCATCTGTAGTGGACCATTTGAAAAGCCCTGTACTTTGAGTTATGATTTAGCAGCTGCTATTAAAAATACTGCATCGGTATCAGGAGTAAGACTAACATTTCCTGACGTAGAATAAATTAAAGGCAGCCAAAGATTTACATTGGGACCCTGTAACATTAGGGATTGTTTGTGGTGGGGGCATAGTGTGTTCAAAACAGGTATTCAGAAAAGGAGTTTTTATGTAGAGTTATGAGTGAGCCTGGCAAAAGAGGATTCTTTTCTTAACTGTGTGGAAGAATTAATGGCAGAGAGATACTAGACCATGGTCAGACCCACTTGTTGTGTACACAGTGAGCCTGCATTATGCACATACTTGCCTTACTCAGCGTCAGCTATGAGCTCAGTAACCACAAGGGAGATTCCATTCTACCTGCTGCCTCTCCCCACCCACCAAGTCCTTTTACTTTTCATTCCTCTAGCTGTATGTACATGGAGGAAACTGTTAAAAAAGGAAATAATGGTTTCCTAGTCCTTTGGAGAAATGAAATGAATTATTCAGATGGCAAACAAGTGAGTGGTACTTGCTTTGTATGACATCCTTGATTAAGAAATGGAAGTCTGAATTGAGAGAATTATTCAATTTCGCGTAGGGTTATAAATATAATACATATATAAAAAATTTTATGAATGGTTTTAGGAAATTTCTAGAGTAATTTTGATTTGTGCGAATCCCTGAATAATTTGCAAAACTGCTCTAAAATTTGAAACCAGGTCTGGTTACATAAGACTTAAGAAACAGATTACAGAATTCTATGATGATCGAGTACTGTGTTGAGAATATCTTCTAAAGAGTTCAAAAAATCTGTTTTTCTGTTACATTTTGACCTCTAAAATAGCAGTACTTAATTACTTAAATTACTTAACTGAAGGTAATGCTCCTTTTAAAGTGGTTCTTTTAGGCTTAAGTGAATATTTTGGTTATCTGTTCAAAATTGGTAGGAACACCTAATATACTAAGATTTTTCCTCTGGATAAATATTTCCTTTGATCAAAACAGTTGGAAACTGAGCTTTGCCATTGTTGCTAGTAAAAACAAGGGCAGAAAGTAACATTTTAAGGTATATTGCATTGTAGTATTCTGTCAGGCTATTTTTTTTAGTTAAGGTATCATTGATACACAGTCTTATGAAGGTTTCACATGAGCAACATTGTGGTTTCAGCATTCACCCATATTTTCAAGTCCCCCCAACACACCACATTGCAGCCACTGTCCATCAGGGAAGTGAGATGTTGTAGAGTCACTAGTCTTCTCCCTGCTGTACCGCCTTCCCGGGGACCTACCTGTATTGTGAGTGCTGATTACAGTGCCCTTTAATCCCCTCCTCTCTCTCTCCCCACCCACACTCTCCAAACCCTTCTCTTTGGTAACTGCTAGTCCCTTCTTGGAGTTGGTGAGTCTGCTGCTGTTCTGTTCTTTCAGTTTTGCTTTCTGTCAGACTGTTTCAAGTAACTTGCAGTTACTTCATCTAAGGAAATATCTGATACTTAGCTTTTGCATTTCAGGACAGTGTCAGCAGAATATATTCTTTTCTTGTTAGAGCATACTAAACTTCGTAAGTTAAAAAAACAGATTTTTGTGCTGCTGTTTTTATTTTTGTTTTTTTCCTTAGAACTCAAAGACCTATTGTGGACATAAGATAATTTTTCTTTCTGAAACATCATAGACTGATAGGGCTCTAACAGCAGAAATGGACAAAGGGGTATACTGGGGAGAGACAGTATGATTCAGGAGAGAAATCATACTCTTACATCTTCTTGGCTCTTGGTCCAAAGGCAGTGTTTCTTATATTTTAAAGCCAAATGTAAAAACAATATTCATCTATTTAAAATGAACAATAACTCCTTTCAAAGTCTGAATGAGATACTATTAGGATAGAATCTTGAAAATCTCATAATTGTTTTAGGGAAAATTTTCTATTTCTTAATTAGAAAATTTCCTTTTCTTATATTTATTTTGTTATATCCTTCTGCTAGTATACATTACAAATATGATTCTGAAAATCAAAATACATCTACTTAACTCTTGTATACCTGAATTTTTTTTTTTTTAATTATTGCTCCTCTTAGAGATAAACACCTTACTGCATTAAGTCTGTGTAAGTTCTTTGGCAAGACTTGTAAATACAAAGTGATTAGAAAAAGAGAACTTAACTTCAGGTGGTATTGGTGACTTGTTTAGGAAGCCGTGCCACTGGAGCCCCCTTTCAGTGCTTTGAAACAAGAACAGCAGAGAAAATGGATTGAAGAGTTGAATAAGCAAACAGATGATCGGCAAAGAAAAACAAAGGAAAAAATGGCATCATTAAAGGTAACTTATGACATTGTATGGATATAATTTCAAAGTCTTTAAACATAAAGTATCCTGAAGCTATTTGATAAGACTGGTCAAGTTATTCCACATTTGCTCTTGAGAACATTTCACTGAATGCATTCAGTGTGATTTTGCATAGCTTCTTGTAACTTAACACTTAGAAATTTCCTTATTTTTAAAATTTCTCATATTTTCCGAGCTAGTTACCTAAATGTATATGGAATCAATACAGAAACAATTTTGTTAACTTTTATGATGCTTATTCTGCTTTATGGAGACTTTAGAAATCACGTTTGATTGCCATTTAGGATTTTATATGTGGGAATAATTAATTAGAGAAATTCTTAGCAATTCTTATCTGTCATGATTAGGGTGAGGAACATGACAGATGGTCAGTGCGTTTTGATTCCTTAAAGAGCAATCCTGGTTCTCAATCTCAACTGTCTTCTCAGTCACCACACAAACAACCAGAGTACTTGTGTGTGTCTCCGGACATTCAGAAGCTGGCAGAGAACAGTGGTGTCTGTACACCTACAGCTGGAAGTCAGGTTGAGCCTTCAGAGGAGGAGCGTGTAGCAGAACCTATCAGAAATGTCGCTATGGCAAATGGCCACAGAACAAAGTAAGTTCATTCAGGTATTTACTGATGTGTAGAAGTCTGTGTGCTTTATTGGGACTGTTCTATATTTACAGTATGTATTAATTGATTTCAAGTTTGGAATCTTTTTCTAAGTAGAAGTGGTTAGTAGACATATCCTAAGCAAAAATGTTTAGCAGCTTGTTAAACCCACCTTTTGGGGTTTTAAACAGTTAATGTATCTATTTTGCCAGCTTCCTCCGTTCAATGACTGCTCTCTTGGACCCAGCTCAGATTGAGGAACGAGACAGGAGGCGACAGAAACAGCTAGAACATCAGGTATTGCATTATAAATATTGCTCTTCTTGATAAGTAGTACCCCTGGCTAATAGATACCTAAGTAGTGGAACTTCAAATTCTAGTATAAACTTACAGCATAGACCCTGTCCAATCCTATGATGTATCTAATCCCTACTCTAAGTGGCATATTAGAATTATACTCGTGCTAAGAACCAGACGGAGTCACACAGTACAGCCAGCTACCTTCCAGAAGAGAAGATCTTATATATGTTGTCCGTGTGAGGTAGCACTAAATCTTAAGTTGGTATTGGATACTTTTTCATCAGTTTAGTTTTCATGAATTCTGTTCAGGATGACAATTAGTTCTTTGAAAGGGAACAATGTATGAGATGGAAGTAGAAGTACGGTTAAGAAATCTGGCAGATAACATAAGAAAGGAGACTAAGATTAAAATTCTCTCCTGCTTTTAGTCTAATGCTGAAGGGACTTAAATGTCTGGAAAATTCTTTAAAACCTCCTATATATGAAGATTTGGCCTAGTTAGTAGTGCTACTCGCAATCAGTTGAGTGAACAGATACTTTACACAGCAGCTGGTACTTACCAGGCACCATGCTAAGTGCTGAGATTTTTATTTTTCAGTTGTTTTTCTATTAGTTCTTCTAATGGCCCTCTTGGGGTTAAAGAAAAAGCCTGTAGAGTTTGACAAGCAGGAGATGGGAGAAATACACTGGAAATTTGACATTTTAACTTTACTCATCTATGTAATTCTGTATACTGATAAGCTTAATTTCAGGACCATCAAACAAATGCTTCATGGGTCTTGCAATTTGTGACAATGATCTCTGTGACTGTGTGTGGTCAGAAAGCCATCACTGCTCAGGTGGAAGAGAAGCGCAGGATGAAGCAGCTGGAGGACGAGCAGAGAAGGAGGGGAGAGGAGGAAGAGGAGCGCCGCCTGGCGCGGCAGCGAGACGCGGTGCGGAGACAGGACGAGGAGGACGCGCGGAAGCAGAAACTCAAGGAAGTGCGTGATTGTATTCCGACGTTCTAGAGTACAAATGGATTGTTTTTAAAGAAAAAATAAGCAGAAGTCGAACATTTGCTTGTATTTTTATAATTGTGAAGCTGTGTGGAAACATGAAAGTAAGAGAGAAGATGGAGGTTTTATCTATTATATTTTTTTACAAAACCAGTGACTATATTCTCCATACTGTCCATGTGACCAACTTAATATTGTTATTGTGAATTATTGTGCCCTTTATTCCACTCACCCGCCCCCCCACCTGCCCCAAACCCTCCCCCTTAGTGGCCACTAGTCACTTCTCACTGCTGTTGTGTTCCTTCTGTTTTGCTTTGTTTGTATTCTCCACAAATAAGTGAAATCATATGGTATTTGTCTTTATCTGCCTGGCTTATTTCGCTGAGCATAATACCTTCTAGCTCCATCCATATTGTTGCAAATGGCAGGATTTCTTTTCTTTCTTATGACTGAATAATATTCCCTTGTGTATATGTACCACATCTTCTATATCCATTCATCTACCGATGGACACTTAGGTAGCTCCCATAACTTGGCTATTGCAAATAATGTGTTGATAAACATAGGGGTGCATACATCTTTTTGAATCAGGGATTTTGTTTTCCTTGGGTTAATTTCTAAGAGTGGGATTACTGGATCACGTGGTATTTCTATTTTCAGTTTTTTTTGAGGAACCTCCATACTGCTTTCCACAGTGGTTGCACCATTGTACACACATTCTCAACAGCAGTGGAGGAGTGTTCCCATTTCTCTGCATCCTCACCAGCATTTCTTATCCTTTGGATAGTGGCCATCATAACTGGTTTGAGGTTATAACTCATTGTGACTCTGAATTGCATTTCCCTGATGATTAGCGATGTGGAGCTAATCATGTGTCTGTTGCCATTTGTATTTCTTTGGAGAAATGTCTGTTCAGGTCCTCTGCCCATTTTTTAATTGGGATATTTGTTTTTCTGGTGTTGAAGCATATGAGTTCTTTATATATTTTGGATGTTAACACCTTATCAGATGAGTCATTTATGAATATATTCTCCCATGCTGTAGGTTGTCTTTTTGTTCTGCTGATGGTGTCCTTTGCTGTACAGAAGCTTTTAGTTTAATGTAGTCCCATCTGTTCATTTTTTATTTTGTTTCCCTTGCTTGAGGAGATGTGTCCAGGAAAAATTGCTCATACTTATGTTCAGGAGATTTTTGCCTATCCTTTTTTTTAAGAGATTATGGTTTCATGAGTTACATTCAGGTCTTTGATCCATTTAGAGTTCACTTTTGTGTATGGATTTAGACAGTAATCTGGTTTCTTACATGTACTTGTCGTTTCCCAACACCAGTTATTGAAGAGGCTGTCTTTTCCCCATTGTATAGTCATGGCACCTTTATCATATATTATTTGACTGTATATGCGTGGGTTTATATCTGGACTCTCTGTTCTGTTCCTTTGATCTGTGGCTCTCTTCTTGTGCCAGTACCAAGCTCTCTTGATTACTGTAGCTTTGTAGGAGAGCTTGGAGTCTGGGAGCATAATCCCCCCAGCTTTATTCTTCTTTCTCAGGATTGCTTTGGCTATTCAGGGTCTTTTATGAATTTTAGAACTCTTTGTTCTGGTTCATTGAAAAATGCTGTTGGTATTTTGATAGGGATTGCACTGAGTCTGTAAATTGCTTTGGGCTGGATGGCCATTCTGACAATATTAATTCTTCCTATCCATGAATATAGGGTAGATTCCCATTTATTGGTGCTATTCTTTAATTACTCTCATGAGTGCCTTCTAGTTTTCAGAGTATAGAGGGTCTTTCACCTCCTTGGTTAGATTTATTCCTAGGTATTTTATTCTTTTTGATGGAGTTGTAAGTAGAGTTCTTTTCCTGATCAGTTAGTATTTTTGTCCATTGTTATTATATATAGGAATGCAACAGATTTCTGTGAATTATTTTTGTATCATGCATCTTTGCTGATTCAGTTATTCTAATAGTTTTTTGGTGGAGTCTTTAGGGTTTTCTGTATATAATATCAAGGCATCTACAAAGTGACGAAACTTCTTCCTTCCCAATTTGGATGCCTTTTGTCTCTCTGTGTTGTCTGATTGCCGGCTAGGACCTCCAGTACTATACTGTGTTGAATAGAAGTGGTGAAGTGGACATCCTTGTCTTGCTACCAGTTTTAGAGGGAAACCTTTCAGTTTTTCACTATTCAGTATGATGTTGGCTGTGGAGTTGTCATGTGTGGCCTTTATTTTGTGAAGGTACGTACCCGCTTTACCCATCTTTTTTGTTTTAATCATGAATGGATGTTGAGTTTTATCAAATGCTTTTTCAGCATCTCTTGAGATGAACATGTTTTTTGTTTTTTGTTTTTTTTATTAAGGTATGATTGATATACACACTCTTACAAAGGTTTCACATGAAAAAACAATGTGGTTACTACATTAAGTCCCCACCCACACCCCAATGCAGTCACTGTCCATCAGTGCAGCAAGATGGCACAGATCCACTATGTGCCTTCTCTGTGCTACACTGTTCTCCCCGTGATCCCCCACACCATGTGTACTAAACATAATACACCTCAATCCCCTTCTCCCTCCCTCCCCACCTGCCCTCCCACACCCCTCCCCTTTGGTAACCACTAGTTTGTTCTTGGAGTCTCTGAGTCTGCTGCCATTTTGTTCCTTCAGTTTTGCTTCATTGTTATGCTCCACAAATGAGGGAAATCATTTGGTACTTGTCTTTCTCTGCCTGGCTTATTTCACTGACCATAATATCCTCCAGCACCATCCATGTTGTTGCAAATGGTAGGATTTGTTTCTTTCTTATGACTGAATAGTATTCCATTGTGTATATGTACCACATCTTCTTTATCCATTCATCTACTGATGGACACTTAGGTTGCTTCCATATCTTGGCTATGTAAAAAGTGCCGTGATAAACATAGGGGTGCATATGTCTTTTTGAATCTGAGAAGTTGTATTCTTTGGGTATATTCCAAGGAATGGGATTCTGGGGTCAAATGGTATTTCTATTTTTAGTTTTTTGAGGAACCTCCATATTGCTTTCCACAATGGTTGAACTAGCTTACATTCCCACCAGCAGTGTAGGAGGGTTCCCCTTTCTCCACATACTTGCCAGCGTTTGCTGTTCATAGTCTTTTCGATGCTGGCCATCCTTACTGGTGTGAGGTGATAACTCATATTGGTTTTAGTTTGCATTTCCCTGATGATTAGTGATGTGGAGCATCTTTTCATGTGTCTGTTGGCCATCTGAATTTCTTCTTTGGAGAACTGTCTGTTCAGCTCCTCTGCCCATTTGTTAATTGGGTTATTTGCTTTCTGGGTGTTGAGGTGTGTAAGTTCTTTATATATCTTGGATGTTAACCCCTTGTCGGATATGTCATTTACAAATATATTCTCCCATACTGTAGGATGC